TGGTGTTGATTGGATAAACACAGATTTAATTTTTTTTTTGCATCAGGAGGTGTTCAATCGGGATTTATCGGTTATACCAAAGATCAGAAGATTTATTTATCCTGTATACAAGACCTGTAATGGGAATGTGAGGTGCCAATCTAAAGAAAACTTCAAAACCAGAAAAATACATTGTTACTCCTTAAATATTCTGAAGTGTAATTATTTTAAACACAAGAAAAACCTTACTTTTTTTTTGAAGAGTCACCCTCTTGAATGGTGTAAGCTGTTGCCCTACCGGTTCAAAAACCCTACGCACTTTTTAAAAAGTAGAAATGTTGCAAGATTTTGTCATAATAGATTGCAAAAAAAAAACGCACCCTCAATTTCTTTCCTCACCCCAAGAAAATACTTTGCAGTGAAGCAGTTAAACCGCATACATCTGTTGCTTTATGTTGCTGCTGGTACAAAAACTGGCAACCACATGTAGAGAGTTTCATCGGTTCTTTGCACAGCTGTCAGATGAGACCTGACAAAGACAGTCTGGAAAGATATTTCTCACAGAAAACAACCAAGCCGAAATCAACACTGAGAGTGGAAGGTATGCAGAAATGCTGCCTCTCAATCCATCCCCACATAAATCAGCACATTTCACGTGGAAATGTCTATTGGTTTCAGGTTGCACCTCAGCAAAAACTGGAAACAAAAAATCAGCAAAGATAAGTCAGCATAAAAGTTTGCAAAAACATTAGTCAAAACAAATCTAAACCATCCCCAAAGCCATGGAAAAGCATTTATAAATAAATACCTAGCTTGCGTTCAGGTATTGAGTGCACAAAGATTCAAGGACTAAAGTAAAGGGTAAAGACAGCATAAAGCATCTGAGGAGTGCTCCTAAATTGCATTACATAAAATAAAATGGTCTTGGGAGACTGCATTAGTATAATTTTACACACAACATGCAGTAAACTGTTATTAGTATTACTGGCCACATCTTCCTCCTCCACCCCTACCCTGCACACATTAGAGTCCTGTAGCTCAGTGGTTAGAGCACTCGCTTTGCAAGAGAGAGGCCTGAGTTCAATTCCAGGCAGAGCGAAACCTTGGGCAAGTTTCCTTACTCCACACAGAGCCTAATAATAATCCCTCCAAAACCAAAAACAATAATAAATTGGTCATTTTCAATCTACGACTGTTTGTGGGACATTGCTGTGCGCAATTGGCTGCCGCGTTCGCCCACAAATATACAGTCAATTCACTTTACAGTGGATTCTGTGAAGCGCTTTGGGACGTCCTCCCGACGCGAAAAGCGCTGTATCAAATGCAAGATTATTATTATTATTTGCCTCCATGTTTCTTTGATCCTCTTTACCCTCATCACCCACATGAAATCGACCTCCTGCTCCTTTAATCCCTCCCAGGCTCACCAATCAACTGTCTCTCCGTTGCTCTATGCTGGCAGGCAACCCTCTTTTCCAGCAATGACTATTCCCTTCAAAACAGCTATCATCACCCCCTGCAATTACCAGGGGATTCTTTGTCCACTGCAGGTCAACATTTAACTGACTGAAGAGCTTGTGACATTCCTCCTGAGGAGACCATGAACTACCTGCCTGTAAAGAGACACTGAAAGAAGCCTGCCTGTAAGAAACATGAACACTGAAACATCAACAGTGAAAGCAGTAGATCCAGAACTTATCAGGAGGCACACAACTTTGTCTAAAAAGAACCTCTCACTGATAGCAGTCCCTTGAAAAACATTCAAAGCCTATTTTAAAAAAAATACTCTGCTTATTTACTAAATGTTGTTGCTGAAGGAATCCAAACATTTTTAGGAAAATCCAGTTCTCATGCATTTACAGGTCAGGTTCACTTGCCTTTTTCCCCAAATAAAATGTTCATTTTTAGAAAGTTAGACATTGATTTATGAATAACCAGCCACAAGATTCCCTGCATCCTAGCATCAGTGACATCAATAAAAAAGGTGATGTGAAAGGACAGACAGATTTTTCCTTTTGAGGTTATAAATTCAGAATGGTCCAATGATTTGCATGGTGCATTTTTGTAGACATGTGTTTTTCTATTTAAGATTGTACTATTGTCTTTATCATCAGTAGAGACGGAAGCCATTACATAAACAATGACGCTGATGAGGGAATAAGTATCACAGGGTTCTGTGTTTCAGCAATACTTCAGCAATATTTCAGCAACGTTCAATAGAAAAGAAATGGAAAAGAAAATGATGTGGTATCACACATAAGTGATGACTGTTGGACGTTGGTCATTTTAAAAGCATTACTTCCACACAGTAATGAACAATTTGGAATTTTGAGAGATGCAATATTAACCCAAACACTGTTAAAATAGGATTCAACAATTATTCATTTTCACTGAAGTAAAACACTGGCTAGACTAGTTATTGCTCAGTCAGTAAGCCTTCGTCATATAGTTACCAACATAATCAAACAAGATATATTCCAAATTATGTGAAGAATGGCATTCTACATCCTCCCAGGTTTTGGGGAGATAGAAGTGAGTCAGTAATACTACCAGAAAAGTAGATAAAATGCCTTAAAGTATCAGTTCAAACTTCAGCTTGGCAGAACCGTAACTTTACAATGTTGTTTATTTTGGTAATAGGTCACATTTTTCTGAGTTACAAACCAAAAGAACCACTCAAAAAATACAACAGTTCTTGATCGCTGATGCTGATAAGTCAGTCAACAATTTACAGGGAACCCCGTTCCTAGTACTAGACTTCAATTCCAGATATCTCACATACATATATATATGTATATATTTATGTGTATATGTATCATAGAATCCCTTCAAGTACATAAATGTTTTGGAATGTAAACTGGTGGCAGAATATGTAACACACAAGCAATTGCTGAATATAGTTGCGCAAAATTCAAAACATTCACTTTTAGTTCATAGACTGCTAATGTTTGGGAAAGGAATCCGAAAGCCAATAAAATTACTACATCAATGGCTTGCATGAGCAGCTGAAAACGTATCTGGCAACCCTGTGGCAAGAAACATCGTCTATCTTTGAAATGTTCACATTGCTACTTCTGGAGGCTCAAAAAAAACACTGCCTTACACAGAAGCAAAGTATACAGACAAACCTTGTGATTACATGATCATTTTGGTCCAATATCAGTAACCTGGTTATATTTAGCATACACAACTTGCAGGAAGCTACACTAACAGCATTTCGGGTGCATAGTACGCAATGCAAGAATTCACAACATGGGAAGCCAAGTATTAACGCTGGAAGCCTAATATACTGCGCTTCTCGTTATCGCTGGTCCACAGTAGCCTAATGCTACAAGCACTATAACAGGGTAACTGCATACATTACAGACCGATGACCTGGGCCAATAGAAGAGCGGGTGCACCTTTTCCACTAGAATGGCCCTCATCCGCTACAAACAGCCCCTTGGGTACTAACCGGTGCACACAGCGCGCTAGACCCCAGGCCTCTGACACTGTTTGCTCGATGCCGCTACTATGGCCGGAGCGGCTCTGATCGCACATGCGCGGAGCAATGGATTTGGGGATCGCGGAAACAGCACGTGTGGAAAATCGACGCCGCTGGTGAACAAACCTCGAGAGGAAAAGCAGCTGCGTCACACTTCTGCGACAAATTCTCGGTAAGTGCTGTGCTATGCAAATTAAAATATTTAGTATTTTAAACATAACTACATTTTCAGAAAATGTATACCTATAGTTTTAATCAGGATTGTTTCACTTTTTAAGGTTGTAGAATATAAAAATGGCCAAACGTTTTTGTAAATCCTTTGAGGAAGCCAAGGGGCAGCACATCTCACTTTCCATCTGTCCCTCAGATAGAATTGTACTCTATCCAGATGACCTTTATGAAGGGGGGGGGGCAGTTGTTTTGTTGCGTTTGCTGTCACACAATTGACCGTGTTCGCAAGAACACCATTGATGAGCACATGAAATCTAGAAAACAATGTGAACGCAAGGCAGCGGCAATAAAGAAAAAAGGAAGGTAAAATACTTTTGATATATATGTGTAATAATATTAAATAAAAATGTATCATTATTTGCTTTCACTTTAATTTTGAAAGAAAATCTTAATTTGTACGATTACAATAGCTAATCTCGTTCCTTTTTGATTGAATTTTAAGGGCACATAAAACAACCACAGCAACAAAAACAAATAGACAAAGCATTTCTAATGACAAATGCATTTTGAAGATCAATTTTTATTTTTCCTTTCTAGGTGGATCTGGACCTCAGAGACAACTTGCTTTGACAACTTGCTTCTCTAAAGCCACTGAATCATCTACGGAGAGGAAATCATTCATGTTGGACTTTGTGTGGTGTTTGACTAGAGCAGATATACTGCTTGAAAAAGCTCCTGCCTTTCAAAAAACTACACAAAACCGGGAAGGACTATTCCAACACCATCACTGCTTTGTAATACATACTTGAAGGAGCTTATTCTTGAGCATGAAGCATTTTTGCAGAAACATGTTGAGCACACGGATGTAGGCTAGCACAAAATGTCTCTCAGTGGCACCAATTAATGTAAAATGTAAACATTTTCTCTGCAATGCCCCCAAAATTTGTAAAGAGCTCCATAATTTTTTGCAAATATTTCTGCACTTTTCTATTGGCCCAACCGATGACTTATAGCATCGTACCAATTCATAAAGTATATGGTGGTACTTTGCGAGAACTATCACTAGATTTAAGTTACACAAATATTGCTGTAAAGTATCAATCCTGTATACAAAACTCTCATATTCAGAAGACAGAGAGCATGAAGGCATGATTTCTACATTAGCATAATTTTAATTAACTTTAACTCTTTCTGCAATAGAGGACATTATGCTAATTAAAGTATTCTTGCTGCCTTGTACCTTATGAACAAGCCCCATTTCAACATAGGAACTGTTCAATCTACACTGAGGAGCTAGTAACAGTTATGCAATAAGAGGGTACAAAAATAAACAGATGAAGAAAAATCTATCATGCATATCACGTACCATTTTTACTATTTCAGGATACGCCTGCTCAAGCAGCACACCTCGATTTGTGGTGAGGAAATCCACCAATTCGTTAAGAGTGGCTCTTTTGACCTCTTTGCTCTTTAGGTCTGAAACAGAATCCATGAAATCAAATATCACACAGCACTGCTGGAGCTTCTGGCAGAAAAGGTCATGTTGCTCAGTATTTGGAACATCTGTGAAAAGAGGGGAAAAGATACTAATTTAGTCATTAAGTATGTATATCACTATGCATTAAAAACCTTTAAATATCAAAAAGAGGCCCATCAGAAAACTAATTCTAGGACAAAAAAAAACGCGGTACAATGGGCAGACAAGCCTCTACCCATTCTGAAAATTCTACATTCTACAATATTAAATATAAACTCACTATATTAAATAAATTTAAGCTACTGTTGCAAATACTATTATTAATATTTACATCTGATCCAGAGACCTATATTAAAACCTGTCTGTGAGCAACATGGCAGCCAATGCATTACTCAAAAACAATAAAATTAATAATTAATTTTGGGGGTTGAATTTTAAATGAGAGATTGTTAACAAAGACATTGGAAAAATTCCCTGCACTTCTTCAGCTCTCCTCCCAGACTACCCAGGGAAATAAGGTTTATACTTGTCCCTGGAATCTAGCAGTTGTGTACTATAATAGCCACTTGACAGTGTACTATTTACCAAATTGTTCCAGTACTAATCAACTTTATTCAGAAACAACTTTGATGTCCATATAATGCAAGATGAACACTAGCTCATTCAAGTCAACTCAGAGCAGAACTCAATTCGGAAACTTGAGGCATTTGCCTAAAGACATTTTTGCCTTGGTCATTGATCTCCCTTCAGTTATGCTACTGAAATCTTGATGACAACATAAAAGTGGGAGGGGAGAGCTACCACCAGAATGTCTTGTGATAAAGCAACAGAATATGAAAATCCAGGTTTATTTTCCACTTAGGAAAAAAGAGGATCGAAACAAGGTTTGCAAAAATCAGATGGTGGAGATGGGAGACTGGAAAAGTAAGCATTTGACATGTCGAGTCTGGCATTAGGAAGGAAGGTTTCTGCAGCATTGGGGGTGAGATGGGGATGAATAATGCGACAGGTCAGTACTTGGGTAAATTCACCAATTCAGAATTATACTTTTGTGTAATCAGAACCAAGTTTGATCCATATTCCCAAAATGCAAATATTGAAATACCATGAAAGAAGTAACAGTACTGTAACACTAAATGCAAATATATTTGAAAAGAACCACGACACAAATTAATTACACAAAGCCTTAGCTGACAAGATTCAATCATGGGTATATAATTATTTTTGGACACTCATTTAATACAGTTACAGAACAGAGGAAAGCTTGTAAAAAGCCTTCATAAAGCACATCAAAGTGAAACCAAAAATCAGTCATTCAGATATATTTTCAAAAAAAGTCAGTCACTTTATGTTTAACAGTCACAAGTTTCCACTAACAACTACAAGACCAAATTTATTTTCATACACAAATAAAGATTGATAGCTTCTAAAGACTGTGGCCAATTCATCCACTACCTTCTCCATGATCTCCTTCAATATTCTGGGAAACGTACCCTGTTGATTTTTCTACTTGGCCCTCCCCTCTCCCCCAAAAGCTCTAAGAAGTTCCATCTTTTCTCTGACAATTCTCTAAGATATTAAGAAGCCTTTGCTATTATTCTTACGTTGACTGCCAGGCTTTAGAACACAACTTCTCTATTCAATCGCATCATTTTTGTTCTCAACTTGCTAATTAATCATATGCTGGATTTCTCACAGCAGGATTGCTTAATAGAGTTCTCACCAATGATAATGATGCATATATTTTACATAGGAGAGTGCGAGTTAGCTAATCATCCGAGTCTCCTGTGGACCAGTAGTACACTTCTGATTTCCAGCCAGAAAGAGAGATGTCAGTAGTGGCCTGACAACCTGAAAGAGCCAGACATTTTTCTGTGGACCAGTTTTAATATGGAGTCTATTTTTTTATCTGAAGCACTGAGTTGCAAATCGGTTGCCCTGCATCAAAACATATAAAGAGGAATAGGCCTATTCACCATTTTGTTAGAATTTAATCATTATTCAAAAATGAGAAGTCTTTTTATCTAAATGGCAATTTGAAATTTTCACTATTTCACTAATATTGCAACAAGCATCTTTCACATCCTGAGGATGTCTCAAAGTGCATTACTCAGCTGACTTGGAGCCTGAGCTAGGTGGGTGGGAGGGGAGCTGGGGGCCAAAAGCAAGGTCAAAAGCTAGGGCTCAAGGTCTCATGATCAAATCCTCAAACAGAAATAGACATGTTACTAAACTGGGGTTCATACTCATTACCTGTCACTGAAATCAAACACAATTTTCAATGCACGTAAATATACAACATCAACAAAATTACATTTATAGAGCACATTTCACGTCAAGAGGACGTCCCAAAGCGCTACATAAACACAAATATGCAATTTCGTGGAACAGGACAAGCCAATCAGGCAGCCATGGCTGTTTTACCAATTTATCAAATCATGCCAGATCTTTTAAACCCATTTTCTTCTCAAATCTTAATATCTTTCCCAAGTGCATCTATCCCTATCAATTCAGAATATACAGCCATCTAGGGCAGTACATATCGTATCCACACTCCCACCTACAAATCCTTGCACACCCTTACACGGCCCTATTTCTGTAATCTTTTCCACCATCACCCGTCCGTCTGCCCAGTGCATTTGGCAAATACTTGCCTGCTACATGTCTTCATCATCAGCAAGACCTTCAGGCAATAAGCCCTCATTCTCTGGGCCTCACTCCCTTGCTATCAATGTACGAAATCTGTCTTTCTCATGATCTTGTGTGTAAAAATATTTGCTGATCTCAATTCTGATTGGTTTAATTTGGGTTGACGCTCCAATGCGGTGCTTGGGTTGTGCTGCATTATTGGAGGTACCAGCTTTTGGAAGAGATGTTGAACTGAGATCCCATCTGCCTGTTTAGGCGAACATTAAATGATGTCCATTCGTTTTGGATCCTTCTACCAGCTTGTCAATTAGCTTCATTATTTTTACTCACCTCAAGCAATTTTGAAGCAATAATTTCCTACAATATATAGTGAAATGAACCCAATATTGCTAAAGTCTACGTGACCTAATCAAGGGAGTCTGCTGCTACTGCCTTGTGTTTAGCATGATGTTTATCAGCGAAGACACAACACAAATTATTCCTCAGAATACAAGGACTTTATTTTGTATCTTAACCACAGTTTTGGGAGAATTTTAAAAGACAGCATAATTCATGGTTGAGACAATCTTGATCATCATCATTATTGCCTTACAAAACACATCAAACTGTTTATCTCGCGTGTGTGCCCGAAGGATAACTGCTCGATTCAGATTCTTTATTTATTTCTACTGCATATTCAGAAGTATCAGAAGAGGTCCACATAGCAGGTAGTTTGGCAAACCAGGAGGAGGCTGAAGAGAATGCAATTCTTTTCCTTCTTTTATACAACAATCGGCGCCTCTATCGGCGGGCAGGCCTTCCACCATTCTGACCCACCCTCTGGAATTCCATCCCACAGTCCATCCGTCTCAGGCCCTCCCTCGTAAGTTTCAAGACCCGCCTCAAGACCCTCCTCTTCGACTGTGCTTTCAATCTCCCAGCCGTCCCCCACCCCAATCTTCAGCTCGGGTCTGTAACTCTGTCTGTCCAGCGTCTTCAGACGTCCTCACAACGTGAAAAGCGCTATATAAATGTAATTTTGTTGTTGTCGGTTGGAGGAGGGGCAGCGCAGCTGGCCAAAATGGCAGAATAGAGAAAGTGGATGCGAGAGTGGTTTACTTAAGTGCCACTTGAATGTTAAAGCAACTTTCACAATGACTAGGTCGGTTGCTGAACAGGGGAAAGAAGCGGGAGGCAACCATTGAAGTATTCAAAGAGGTATGTTTAAAGTGAGTCAAGAAACACCAATACAATAAAATGAGCCACTCCAAAAGATAAACCACTCCCTTTGAAAAATAACTGTTTCATACAAGTCCTTTTGAAGACAACTCTGAAATTCCAGATAAAAACAAAGCAGTTTATTCATTCTATTAAAATGGAACTGGAGTTGTTACCCAATATATTTTGCGAAGATAGAAAACCTCTAGTGTTTATTTTCTGTTTACCAAATTATCAACCGTATCTTGGAAATAAAAGTCTACGCTTAAAAACCACAATAAGTCTGCTGACTATCACACTCCTTCCCCATGATCCACACCAGCAGGATGACCATGCCACGCTGTCCCCCACCCTGTCCGCTCTTAGTCTCAGAGTGCCCATTTTGGCTGCCACCACCGACTCCACTACTCCCACTCGATTCTTCTCTCTCACCGCCTCCTATCCCTGCTCGACCGACCCACAGCCTATGATCCTCTGTCGCACTCACCGTGGCAATCCACAGCAGCAACCATGATTGCTCTATCCTCCATCCTTTTCCTGTCCACTATACAAGAGCATTAAGGACAACAATGTTATTTTGTTCCCTTCAATTTTTGTTTCTATCTATGCCTGGTTAAAATCTCCAAAGGGGTTTTAAGCAGGCATAGATAGAAACAAAAATCACTTTACCAGAAGTAAAATTAGTTCAAAGAGAAAAATTAAACCACCCAATTATTTTATGGCAAAATTTGCAATCTTATTTAGTCAGGGGAAAACATAGAAATTTTCTTCAAGATTTATCTAATGATATTTAAACATATATTCCAAGGTTTGATTTGTACTCAAGTATCTGAAAAGAACCCTAGCATAATTTAAGGTCTGTTACCCGCCACAAAAACAAATGCAATAATAATTCTGGAATAGGTGGAAAGCAGCAAATCCTCCCAACTTAGGTCCTCAAAACCAGAAGGGAGTGGATGTAGACTCCAACGCAAAAAAAAGGCTCGGAAAAACACTGAGAAAAAANCATTAAAAAAAAANCCTGTGAAGCGCTTTGTGATGTCCTCCCAAAGTGAAAGGCACTACACTAAGCAAAGGATTTTTTATTATTAATAAACTAAATTCATATTCTATGATAGAAAATCATTCATATTACAATCAGATCTCATATAAAAAGTTGTACAAACCTAAAAATGATTTATCAGTTCTTAAAATAAAGCTAAACAGCATCCAAGTGGTGCTCATTGCCTACATTCTGTTT